GGAGAGGGAAGAAGAGAGAGAGAGAGAGAGAAATATCGATGTGAGAGCAAAACATCAATGGGTTGCCTCCTGCGTGGCCCCTACTGGGGATCGAGCCCACAACCTAGGCATGTGCCCTGACTGGGAATCGAACCAGTGACCTTTCGGTGCATAGGATGATACTCAATCAACTAAGCCACATCAGCCAGGGATCGTAGAACTTTTCAAAACCAAAATAATATATTTTTTAGAAAATTAAAAATTCTAAGCTGCGAAAATATCTATGTATTGAAAAGTAGGTATCATCTTTTACTAAATAAGATGTCACTGATGTAATTTAACTATGCACCAGTGAGAATGAAAAAACACTAAGTTAATGATATAAAACGAGTGTATCATTATTTATTTCTGCATGTATAGCAAGGAGATATACGCAAAATGAATTGGCTAACATATTCCTTTTAGATAAGAATCTCCTGAATTACTTTTCACTCAGTCATCAGTAGATATGTTTTCCACATAATACTTTCCAATATGCCACCATGAGCTCTAGAGATAAAAGTATTCTATATATTTATTTTATTTCAATATAAAACTATACTCTTCCTCCACTAACATCTCTTAGATTTCCTTGCAAGTTATTGACACCCTTACATTAACTGCATGTGTTAATGCTGATACTCTGGATCTTATGAGAACATATCAATCAATGGTTTTCAGACAACACCCTGGATTCACGGACCTTCCTCAAAATGTACTTAAATCACTTGTTGACTGAGAAACCGAGGAAGTGCAGCTAAACAGTCACACCGTGGAAGTAACATCAAGGTTTTACAAGTACAGGTAATGACAATACATTATAGCTGCCACCTGGTCATCAGCAACTATAAGACAACTCCAGATCTTAGAAATGTTAAAAATATGCATCTCAGGAAAAAGTTAATACCCTCTTGGTAGTATTACACAGCAGAGCTAAGGAACACATTCTATCACAAGTAGGGAACATCTTTCAATGCTTCATAGGAGGTAGGACAGTAATTAGTAAGCAGGAATTCACATGATTACTTGTAATCTACAACTTGCAACAAGACCTTAGAAATCATTAAAAGGAGTTTGTGCCGGGGAGTATTAGACAAAGAAAAGAACTTCCATTATAATATGGAGAAGGGAAATGTGTGTGTATGTGTGTGGAGGAGGGTTATGCTCATCTAAGGTTGTTCAAGTAAAATAAAGCAAACACACCCATAGAGAAAAGACTCTGGGAAATGGTTCAATGAGCAACAAACATGTGGAATATCAACGCCAACATCTGGGTAAATTTGAATAAAACCTTTGTTTTGCCTGTATTTGGCCTGGAAGATAATTCTGTCTTCTGGTACATCCACTGGTAGGTTAACCAAATAAAAACAATGGCACAGGGTCTACCAAGATGAACTAGCTAAACAGTGAACTCTGTAAATTAGACTTTGAGACACCAAACAACAATGTTTTAAGTTAGTCTGACAGAGAAAGAGAGCAATAATAGGAGGTAGGAGAATAATAATAATAACTATAAGAATGAAGTGTTAGCAAATTCAAAATCAAGTATGGCACTACTATTCTTAATCACCTCAAGTATTTTAAACCGATTCTCTACCCCACTTGACTCGTTTGATTTCATAGGTAATTCTGAGTTATCTGTTAACATGTATTCTGCCTCTGGTCATCAGCATTACCTCCATTCAACATCTATTACCTAGTTATTAAGAACAGAATATAGCTGAAATTTGTAAAATACAAATATTTAACCTTCATATATTTCTAACAGTTTTCCATATCTTAAGCAAAAATAAAATGACGTTCATTTGACAGGGGACCTCTGGAGAAAATCTAAAAGCTTCCTAACTAAAGGATGCTGATGAGCCAGTGTAAAATTTCGTTTTAGTCCCAATCTAACATTTCAATAAAAGATATACTCAAACAACCTTTTCTGTTACATGCTAGGATGACATTCTACCTTACTTGTAATTCTGACAAAAGTTGAGTGCCGTTCCTTTAGCATTTCCTAATTACTACTACTTTAATACTACCAACACAGATTTACTTTTTTACTTTGTATTATAAATTTTTTCATATACAAAAGTAGAGAAAACAATAAGTGCCCACCAACCAGCTTCAATAATTATCAACATATTGCTAATTGTGCTTTGTTTGCTTCTGGCACCATCAGCCCACGCCAAAATACACACCTCACACATACCTACATTTGGTTTCGCCCCTGAGTATTAAAATGCAAATTCTAGATATGCCATTTGACCAACAGATACTTTTATATGCATCTTTATCAAGACCTTAAAAAACAGTATCACAACCTTACAAAATTAACCATAATTTTAAAAACTTGTCTAATATAAAGCTTATATTCAAATTTCCCAACTGCCTCAAAGATGTATTTTATCTTTTTATTATTGAAAATTTCAAACATATACAGAAAGAAAGAGAGAAAAAAGGATAATGAACTCCCATATACCCATCATCCAATCAATAATTTATTTACTCATAACTAGTCTTTACCTACTCTACCCCACCTCCTGGTAAATAAAACAACTTACAGGCAAAGGAAAAAGCTTCCCATTTACTTTTATACATAGACTATTGGGATAGTTATCTTCTTGAGGGCAACTTGTCTCTGCCAAGCAAAGTCTGCATTAAAGAAGAAAAAGAAATCATTCTTAATAATAATTAAGAACATACGTATTTTCAAATTCATGACTATATGGCACATAGTTAGCAAGTGTTATTGAAGTAAAAGTAAATTTAAAACTCGCCTCAGCTGAACTTGGACTGTATAATCTCTCCTACCACCTGGTAAAAAATCCCTGTTGAAAAGAGAAAGAAATTGGGTTAAGAAAGAATGAGAATTCACATTCTCATCAGAAAAAAATATCATTAGTATTTTTATTCTTATTCCTCAAAAGATGAACACTAGCCTACCAATAGCATAAGCCTCAATCAAAACACTGTAGTGATGATAACTCATTTACTTGACATTTAATCATGTCTTTATGGTAATTTTAGGGTATTTTCACTTCACAGGATCTTCTGCAATGCAATATGTATTTCAATAAGCAACAGAATTGGTTAACATAAAAAGGAGCACCGTAGGTTCTGAAAGAGGTTAATAAATTAATTTTGCTTCTAGTGGTTCTTAATCTTGGCTGAGAATTCTAATCACTTCCTAAATTTTTTTAATATAAAGGCCCATTCACCAGATATTCTTGTTAGTCTGGAGTACAGTCTGAGAATTACTAATTTTTACAGCTACTCAGGTGACTCTGGTATAGAACCAGGATAAAGAACTGGTGTCTAGAGTCTCAATATCTCTATAGCAAAGATTTTCAACCTGTGTGCTGCAAGAATTTTTAAAACATACAATACCTGGCTGCTTAGTCAGGGGCACTGACTTTTTTTCCCTTAAACTGTCAAATAAAAAAAATGACAACAGCCAACACAACAATAGCCATACAGTGTAAATGTCCTATCTTGAACCATAAATATATAGGTCATATAATAGAGTTGTATTTTATTGGTCACATCACATAATAAGGTTGCATCTAATTGGTTAATTATTGGGTACCAGAAATCCTTATATACAAGTATGGGCACCTGATTTTTTAAAAAGTCACTTTGGAGCAAAAAGGGTCTGTAATTACTATATATTATTATTTTTTGGTAAATCAAAATTACACCTGTTTTTGGTCAGATTGGCAAAAAGTACATTTTTTGGTGTGCTGCAGAATTTTGGTAATTAGTTAATGTGTGCCATGAGATGATAAAGGTTGAAAATCACTGCTTTATACCATGGCAACTTCATAATTATGTATCCATTAAGGACATAGAACCTCTTAGAATTTCTAGATGAGAACCTAATAGAAGCCCATATAAAATATCTTTGGCACTGAAACCTTCCAAATCCTTGCCACTGAAAATGTAATCCACAATGAAGCAGCATTATCATTTGGGAGCTTGTTAGAAATACAGAATCCTAGGCCCCAGCCCAGACCTACAAAATTAGAATCTGCATTTTAACAAGATCCCAAAGTGGCATGTATGAACAATTTAAGAAGTATTGTCCTTAGCCATTATCATAAATCTTGGACTTTGTCAGAGAGGATACCATTAGAGATTAGTCGTTTCTTCAGAGTACATTGAGCCCTCATTTTGCTCTAACTGGGCCATTCTTCTCACTGTTTCCAATTCTCTATATTCACTGGAAAGCAGGAAAGCACAACAGGGACCAGCTTGAGTTCTACAGTCCCACACTTGGGCAAATTACATAAACCTCTCTGTGCCTCAGTTTTTACATCTGTTAAAGATGGAAAATACTGCACCTATCTCATGAAGTTGTGATGATTAAATGTGTTAATAATACATGTAAAAGACTTGAATATAAGGAGTGCTCAATATGTGTGAGCAGCTGGCTACTATTATTGTGAACTCTGCTTTCACCATTTCCCTTGCAGTGGTAGCCTCCACCCTTCTCAAATGTCTCCTTAAAACATCCCAACATCCTAGACAACACAGACTTCTTCAATACTCTAGACAACACAGACCTCTTATGAGTAACCCATTATCATTCCACTCATTCAAATCAAGAAACATTTCAGTCTAGGTGCTGGAGCTTCAAAGGTAAATAAGACATTTTTGTTTCTGTTCTCAAAAGTCTTATATGATAGTAACAGATATACACAACTTAAATAAAATGTGCTAAGTTTTATAGTACGTTATGAAAAATAAGTGCTATAGAAAACAGAGAAATTTAATTGTCTCAAAGTTCAAAGCAGTTATCAAAATTAGTCCAATCAAATCAGAAAACAAGGTTTGGACAGCAGTGGTTCTGCCATTTCTACTTAGACACACACTTTCATCAGTAACAAATGGCTTCAGTAGTGCAGTGAGCCTAATCAAAAGTAAAGGGTAAAGGATCAACCAGAACTACACAGCAGAATCCTTTTAAGTTGGGGAACATAATCTGAAAAAAGAGAAATAACAAAAGATGAACCTAGGAGAGAGAAATGGAAGGATGTTATAAAAGGTTTTTAATAGCTCACTAAGAATTTATACTTTGTTCCATTTAAGAGAAATTAACATAAACTGGGAAATGCAATGTGCTAATTATCTTAACAAACACTATGAGTAATGACTAAACATCTTCTGATATTCATTTTCTGCCAGTTTCACAGTTGTGGGAACTTTCACATGCTGATCTCATTTACCAGACATAAAATAGGCATTTACTATATGCCAGGCACTGTGACAGGCTTTGGGAATAGAAAAATGAGTAAGAGATGTTGCTTTCATTAAGAAGCTTGTAAATGCATGGAGTCAAATAAATACAATGATGTTTTCATAGAATACAGTGCACAGTACAGTGAGAAACAAAGGCTGTGTTTGGGGAAACCTGGAAAGGTCTCACAGAAGAGGTAAGACTGGAACTGGCCCTTAAAGAGTACGGAGGAAAAGGACACACACACAGCTGTGAAACCCTAGCTGGAGTACAGACTGCTAGGGAAGGGGGACGGGACATGAGATGGTCAAGATGAACAGAGCAAGACGTTGAAGAGACTGCCAGGTAATGGAGTGTGGACTTCATAAGGTATCACTACGGGGTTTTTAAGCACAAAAGAAAGAACCAAATGGGCTTTAGAAAAATCACATGGTCAGCTGGAAGAGTTATGAGACCATTACAACTGTACAGGCAAAAGATGAGGGCTTGAAAGCTCATAAACATCACTGAATGATATTTAGGTATAGAAAAAACATGACTCAGTAACTGACCAGACATAAGAAGGTAGGATAAGAAAGGGAGCATCTAGGAGCTTTAGGCTTTGGAACAGTGCAACTGGATAGACGGTGATGCTCTAAAAGGTAGAGCAAGTTATGGCATTCAATAACTTTGTGAGGTGGTGATTATTTCTCCAGTTTTACATACTGGGTAAATAAATTCCATAGGCTTTATAGCTTACCCAGGGCCATACAGACCTAAGTGGTTGACCAAGAATTCATATTCCAGTTAGTATTACTCTAAAGACCATGCCAGCTACCTCAAAGGTAGAGTTGCGTAAAGTTTTAAATTTTGTTGTGTTTCAAATAAAAATCAGTGTAGTGTAGCAAACTGACGTATGTGGAAGATGAAGTGTGAGATACAAAGAGGCCTCTGTCCAGGCAGATCCCATGCCGTTAATGAAATAGGCAATAGGAAGAAATATACCAAGCAAACATCTCCTTGAGGCCAGTTTATTTTTCAACTTTGCATCCCTAATGCCTGGAACATTGTCTGAACCATAGCAGTCTGTAAATCAATATATGTTGTGAGACTACATAAGTAAATGAAAGAACAAAAGAAAAACAAGCAGGTTTGGGAAGAAAGCAAGCTGAATTCTGGATGTGCTGTGTTTGAGGTGCCCATGGGTAATCAAAGTAGAGAGAGAAAGGTCTCCAGAGGGAAATGTTGGTGATTTTGTAGCCACCAATATAAAAATAACAATGCACATTCATGGATAAAATCAGAGTAATGAAAAAAGAATCACAAACCGATTCCTGGAAACATCAAAGAGAAGTCAGTGTGAGAGACAGAGACCATGATTAGAGGCAACAGTACCCAATGGAAGGGGGAGTGCTGAAACCATGAACAAAGCTGAACTCAATAATAAATCTTCACGATGTAATAAAGAGAACATACCAAACTTGAATGTATTCAAGCTTCTTATTTAGACCTTACTATCATTAGAGGCAAAGAGGAGAAGCTGGATACACAGCAATAGTTCTCAAATTTGCTGCACACTGCAAACACCTGGGGAGCTTTAAAAACTACTACTGGCCCTGGCTGGCATGGCTCAGTTGGCTGGAGCATTGTCCCATACACCTAAAGGTTACGGGTTCGAATCCGTCAGGGCACATACCTAGGTTGCAGGTTTCATCCCCAGTTGGGGCGCATATGGAAGACAACCATTTGATGTCACACTGATGTTTCTCTTTCTCACTCTCCCTCCCTCTCTCTCTAAAAAAATCAATGAGAACATACCTCAGGTGAGGATTAAAATAAAAAAATAAAAAACTACTACTACTTGGGTTCTATTCTCAGAGATTCTAATTTAATTGGTATGAATAAAGCCTGGGTATCTTGAGTCTTAAAAGCTCCCCAGCTGAGCCCAGCCGGGCGTGGCTCAGCAGTTGAGCGTCGACCTATGATCCAGGCAATCAGGGTTTGATTCCCGGTCAGGGCACATGCCTGGGTTNTAAAAAAATCAATGAGAACATACCTCAGGTGAGGATTAAAATAAAAAAATAAAAAACTACTACTACTTGGGTTCTATTCTCAGAGATTCTAATTTAATTGGTATGAATAAAGCCTGGGTATCTTGAGTCTTAAAAGCTCCCCAGCTGAGCCCAGCCGGGCGTGGCTCAGCAGTTGAGTGTCGACCTATGATCCGGGCAATCAGGGTTTGATTCCCGGTCAGGGCACATGCCTGGGTTGCAGGCTTGATCCCCAGTCCGNCGTCGACCTATGATCCAGGCAATCAGGGTTTGATTCCCGGTCAGGGCACATGCCTGGGTTGCAGGCTTGATCCCCAGTCCGGGGTGTGCAGTAGGCAGCCTATCAATGACTCTCTCATCATTGATGTTTCTAGCTCTCTCCTTTCCTCTCTCTGAAATCAATAAAGATATATTTAAAAAAATTTTTTTTAAAAAAAGCTCCCCAGTTGATTCTAACACACAGCAACAGCCCTAGAACCACAGCCCTAGCCATTTTGCTCAGTGGTGATAGAGTCAGCCCGTGGACTGAGGGGCCCCAAGTGCTATTCCAGTCAAGGGCACA